AACACAGCGAGTTTTAACTGCGCTATGTAGACAATCGTGATGTATATCGGATAAGTACAATGAGGAATATCTAGTTTGACCTACATATTTTTTTTTTCATGAATGGGGAAACGAGTAATGAATTTTTCAAAATAAACTACCATAAAATGTTATAAAGCAGTTGACAGTACAGGTTCAATAAATTGTAGCATTTTTTTTTTTTTTAGCACAATATTATTTATTATCCATTTCATCAAAAGGAAAAAAAGGTAATAAGATAAATGTTATTGTTTAGGCGCTATATGGCGTGTTCCGGTGTGCTAGCAATGTTAAGTCTAAACAAATCGCAAGCGAAAAAAATATTGTTATCTATAATCGATTCTAAAAATTGTAATAATTATTGTCTAAATGTAATACTGCATTAAATAATGACGTTATACGACTCATAACTACTGACTGTCATTATTTATTATCCACATTTTTTATGATTAAAAAAAATTGAACACAAATGAGTATACATTGTCGTTGTCGTAGCTAGTAATATTACGTGCATGTGCATACGATGATGTTATTTGTTACGTTACTAAATACTGCTTTAAATGTTTTTATTGATATTATATATATATATTTTTTTTTTACTTCGTAATTATAAAAAAATTTTGATTACTAATTACAAAACGGCTGTGATAAAATACAACGGACGACTTTACTGTTGTTGACTTGTATTTAATTCAGTATGTTACATTACTACATTATGGTAACTACCTTTCTACCCATCTACAATTCTACCCAAAGGATATCCTAAGATTATTCATTTATAACATTATAAATTTATAACTAATGATTAATGACTAATGTATACCATAATATGTACATACATAATAATATTACTTATTAGATAATATGATAATATGTATTCCTTCTTTTGTAAGAGTGGCTGAAACTTGAACATTTATTCAAGTTTAGTTTTACTTGAACCTATATATTAGTATTCAGTAAACWTCTTCTGATTTAATAACAAACTCGAATATCATATTATAATAGGTACAGTTAATTTAAATATTTTTTACGATCCTAAATAACGTCAATGTCAAATGAATTATATACAATTATTATAAATAATCGTAATATTACATTTTATTTAACACACATATTTATGTAGGTAGATAAGTATAGATTATTTATCAATTTATCATCCTAAAAAAAATATTAAATATTAATTTTGTAATTAATAGGGATATATTATAACCAATGGATTTTAATTATGTTTTATTGATTTAGGTTAATTCATTTTTGGATTATTAACACTATTATAATGAATACCTATAACTATTGTTCAAAATTTAATGTATGCTGAATTTTTTTCAATAGTACGGCAATAAGGTTTTTAGCCAACTTTTAAAAGTGCATAAAACTATACAAAAATTAGATTCATAATATAAACTCGTTTATTATAGGTATTTTATAAARGATTTATATAGTTGTTTGTCAAAAAATTAGATAGGCAATAGAAAGTTGAAAATGCCACATTAACTCTGCATAATCTGAAACTTATCAACCAACTATAACTTTAACCCAGTTAAACGCAATAATTATATTTGARTTAATACTGTACGCTTTAAAAATCAATCATAGCAGGTATAAGGTATTCATGATAATCGGTGGCTAAACGTTCACCTTCGAAACGAAACATCATCACTATATTAGCGATAACATATGTTACGCGAGTGGTTTACGTACGTATAGACGTGTACATACCTATTCAATATCGTTTCACGACAGCGACGATAATTGTGATTTTCTATTCGCATACTTACTATGTTTCGGCGYAAATAGTATAATATCAAGGACGTATTTATCTATATAATACTCGGGTGATTCTTTTAATAGTAAACACGCGCATTATGGGTAGGTACCGAAGAGTATTGCCGATTTTGAAAATATATATTTTTTTTCCTCCGCTCTTTTGAACTTTAAATAATTATAATTAATTAATTATTCATTAAAAATTTAATTTTTATGTATCAAAATATTACAAAAAAAAATTCTACTTCGTAATCATTGCAAAAATTGAAAATTTAGTTAGTTATATTATGCTATCGTTCAAAAATGAAAAAACTGATTACAGTAAAAAATGCATTAAAAAGCGTTCAATGTCATTTGATATTTGAAACTAGTGTTTTCGAATTATCTRTGCATAATATATAAAATATATAATATACAATAGTCAATAATACATATTTATTATTTAGTATGCGATTATATCTATAATACCTATAGTGACAGCGTTTGGTAATTACAACTGTGACGAGAGGGGTAATATACTAATGTCAAATGTACGGAGAAAGTATTACCTTGGAGTGACAACGTCACCTTGACAGTTGAAAATAATTATTTAATAAATTACGGTATAATAACATAATATGGACAGATACTATGGGTGTAGTATTCAAACTACATATAATGCACTCCTGCAGACGCATACATGCTGGTATTATACGTAATATTATTATGCAGTAAGAAACCACTTCCGCCGCCCAGTTCCTAAGTAGTACTAATGCATTTTCGGCGTCCGTGTCATGTTCGTTTTGATTTA